CCTTTCTATTCATTTGTCTGTTCATCCATCAGTTAGTCCAGTTATCTATCTACCGTCCAATGTCTTTGTCACCAACACCATTCATCAGTGCAGCGCGTTCCAGATGATAGCAACAGAACAAACTTGACCGAATTTGATTCCCCTCTGACTTTACTCAATCTGTTTTCTCTGCACCATGCAAAGAAAACACCCAACCCTTAACAAACTTCTCGGGTTTACCGCTATAATCTTGATCCTCCCTTCTTCTTCTTTCCCACGTTGTCTCGCACAGTCTCTTATCGGCACAGATATCTCTAATTCTCTCTCAAACCATTCTATTCTCCTTTTTGCTGTGCTCCCGAATCCCGTGAATTCAATTTTCCTCATCCCAGCAAAAAACATCGTCTTCTCCTTTCCACCGGTTAGCAGACAGCACAAATATCTGCTTTTCTGCTACATAAACCTGGAAAATTACAACATATCAAGAGCATACAAATTGCTTTAGATCATATGCAGTTAATTTATCTGATGACAACGCATTGCAGTTCTTCAAACCCTTAATAGGCTACACACGATCGTTTGTTCCGCCAGATTTCAAATGTCGAATTAAACCAGATTAACTGATAAACCATAACGTTGGAATATTACAGAAGATACATGAAATGATTATCATATAAAAGTGTAGAGAAGTCATTAAATTCGCCGGACCTGTCAGCAATTTTAAATGGCTCTCCGTAAACTGAATTAGTACCCAAATACAGAAGAGATGCCAGGATGATCGAAAATAAACGGCCTTATGGATTCTATCGAAAAGGATATTGGAGTGAAAGACTTTTAGAATTTTTGATATCAAAAATATGAAAAAAGAAATGGAGAAGCTCCAAATTTGCTTCAAATGACTATGAGATAATCGTGGTGACAAAGATTTACAGTACTGTCATTACTGAATGAATAAGTAGGTATAGTGACGCTTAATGTCAGTAATAAGGCAATAAGTCAAATTTGCCCAACAAACGTATTGACATAAGATCCAAGAAGCAACAACAGCAACCAAGAAGTAAGAGCTCCAAAAAAAGTCAAGTAAAGCGAGCAACAATTTTATACTATTTTGTCTTTAGTTTGAAAATTATCCCAGGTTCTTGCATTTTTGTGATGACCATTTACTGTCGGCGCTTTCAGGTTCATTCTATTTACAAATAACTTCATTTCCCCGCATATCCCTAAGATTTTCGATTTAGAATTAGCTAATACTAACATGCTTAATGCATATGGAATGTGTTGTATCTTTCCATAATCGGTCAAATGTTTAGGCTATATGATTTTAGGATTGCAGTAATCGAGATAGAATCGTATTAATTATAGAAGGAACCAAATATGTACAAATTTAAAATGATGGATTTTTTAATTGAAAAACCAATACCTTGCGATTATCCTTTGTTCGAAAAAATCTTAACATGGTATTAACTGTATACAATTATGTCTATCTAAACTGAGAAACTGTGATTGAAAATTGCGTGAGAAAAACTTCGATCGAAATAATTAGCACCAGGTTGACGGACTTAGTTGCAATAACTTATCCATTCTGCTTAACCGAGAAATTCCTGGCCTTTCTTTTAGAAGTGTTCATTGGCAATTATAAGTTCAATTTCTAACTGCAACATCTATTTTGTGAGGTTTTACCAAACTTCTGGTCACAATTATGTATTTATTGTTATTAAAAGTTCTGTATGGTATTTTAGTTCTAAGCAAACATTTAAATTCCTTAAAACGTCATTTTGAACTGGATGTGACACCAAAATAAAGAAATGCACTAAAAACATTTTTTACATTAAGCAGGTATTGTCGGAAAAACCTAAATATTTTTATGATATAAAAATGTAAATGTGTTAATGTTACTAAAATGATGGAAATCAATCACATTCTTAATCCACTAATATTGTACAGATCTTCATGTGCTCCGATTGTAAATCAACGCTAAAAATCTTTCGTAAACTCCCGCTATACAAAGGGTTCAAAGGGCCAAGTGGTGGCAAAATCCCCGTTACAGAAGATCAGTGGCTAAATGTGGTAAACAAACTCCCACTATATAAAGCAGGAAACTCTACCAGTCGGAGAACTTCATTTTACTTGAGTCATTAACTCAACAGTTATGTACCCTACTGCATAGTTCCATTCAATTTTATATTCTTTCTATTAATAAAACCTTTATTATAAAGATTCGTCTGCCCCAATCAACAAGAAAGGCGCCAAAGAAAACAAGATAACTTTTACAAATAAAGAATGTTATGAGAAGGGATAAATGATATCTTAGAAATGTTGAATCAATCTTGTCTCAAACCAAAAAAGTTATAATAAAACAATACTTGCTATTACCTGAAGGTAGAATGATAAAGTACAGATGTTGTTATTACTACTTAAAGATAAAGCAGAGGAACACAGCGGAGCAACACTACCGAGTGGGTTAAAATGGATGTAATTTAAGTGGATGTTAAATAAAATGAAATATTGTCTGTCGAAAAATCAGAAAGGAAACATTAGAATATAGTCAAGTTACAGTTCAACAACATTGGCAGTCTTCTTTTTCTTTTAGTACCCTTTGTCTGAAAAGTTGTTACCTGGTTTGAAAGAGAGTAACAATAAAGTTTTTGTGTTGCCTGACATAAACAGAAGGTGGTTGATAAGAATTTATTGAGGATGAGTTTACTAGTTGATATATAATAACAGCTTAAATCAGATTGGAATATCATTCTGACGAATGAATAGAGTGGAACAGTAGGACGAAGATAGTGACAATCGTAAGTGATAAGAACTCCAGTCTCTAGTTTTTAATGTTTATAAAATGAGTGGATTTACATATACATTTAAATGCATATAAGATTTTACAATATTCCAACAGCTGCATAAAAGTATTTTATATAAAAAGATTAATCTTTAGGCAAGAAGAATTTACATGGAAATCAGATAATTGACTCATCACTTCATGATAGGAAACATTTATTCGAATTTGTCACTGAAGTAATAAATCCTTTACCTACAATAACCCTTCATCTAAACAACAAGCTTTGATTGGTTGTGTTTAAATTTTTGTCGGTTTGTGACACTCCTTAAGCTGTAAGTAATCTAAACTGCATAACTTATTTTACTATCTCGTTTTAACATTGCCCAACCTGAGTCAATCCATGTTTAACATTTAAAACTATCAGTAAATTCGTGTAACTTGACCAGGTTTGATTAAAAAATTGTGCTTGAACAATATACAAATAAACGACTGATATATAGGATGACATGCTGTAAATATGGATAGATTCTTTCCGGTAAAAAAAGGGAGGAAATCGATGCCCTCATCAGATTACAATGGAATGCGTCACAGTCAAATGATGGTCATTCAGTTCAAATTTCCGCCCTATCTCATTTTGCTACGAAAAAGACGGCTTGTGTTGTATTGTGTCGTAGTGAAGGGTGAGAGTAAGGTGGGTTTTCTGGTAGGTGTTGTATTCTATGCTTATCATCTGGACGAGGAGTAGCCACTTACAACGACATGAAAACTTTTCAACGATCATCAACGTCACCAACCATTTGCGTTGCTTTCTCGTTGGATTCCTTTCTTTTGTGTATCACGTGTTGTGCATACGTCTCTGAGACAGTTCCATGAATCAATGTTTACTTCCATTCATTTCATTACGCTTTTCGTATTCTACAGCCTAAATCTGCAGTCGTATATTTAAAGCATCATATATGTAAAGTTGGTGTGTCTTTTACCTTTTCCATCCTTCAGCGCTTTTAGCAGTCAAAGGAGTTAAACGAAGAAGTCACATAATCTGACGAATTCAGTGTTTGGTCATAAGCCGCTTGAAAGTAAAGAATACAAAAGCAATATTATTGCCATCCGTTGACTGGTGGTAGTGATGCCATTTAATGACAATCATTAGTACTGTTTAATGGTAGCTGATAATTATATGGTCTGTGGTACTTATACTAGCTCATTAGGCCTTCAATTTTCTTGTAAACACTTCAACAGTAGAGTGGTGGGACGAATGATGACACTAAACTTGCTTCATTAAAGCAGAAGTGAATAAGTCTTGCGTGAATGTGGATTGTCCATCCGACACATCACTATCATCCTTACTGCTTAAATTTCCGGAATTGCATTACGGATTAAGATCAGAATCTCTTGATCGAAATCTCTTAACTTTTGTGGTTTCTTCATCTAACTTGGAAAATAATGATTAAATGAAACTGGAAGTTAAATTAAGACGAGATAGATGTCTGGTCGTTGTGGTCTCGCCCCATCTCAAATAAGGTAGTGAGGAGTTTCTTTGTTTTGCATTCATATGACGTTTGCTTTGGGCCTCATCCTATAAAATTTTCAGGAGTCATCCAAACAGCCACTGACAACGATTGAAACCAATAAATTCACTATAATATTCTGGAAATATGCAAAAAGATATATCCAGACGATCCGGTACTATCACTAACTATATATGTACAAATAATACACAGGTAACAACAGCGCCATTTCGCGTGAGACAAAATGGAGGACGTTTCGGTGGAAGATGGAGAGGGGGTATGCTATATATTAAAATAACATTAAATATAACTATTTAATGGAAGAGATACTTTGAATCGATCCATCACATTAGATGAATAATATGGTAGACTTCTGCAAGATGATCGTGAGTTGTTGTATTTGACTTGCAGTCACATTACATAAAATTTTCCGAAAGTCCTGCTGTTAGTGATTAGTCAACAGCATTTTGATTCTATCATTTTTCGCAGAGAAGCAACATTTTTCGCAAGCAACAAATGAAAAATAAGTGAACAAGCTTTTACTAACCTAATTTATTATTTTTACGATGTCCAGATAGATAGACCCACTACAGACATCGTAATCAGACGTATTTTTCGGTCCGTTTGCGGAATTTTTAATCCCTTCACCTGCTGTTTTTGACATACCACCGCGTGTATTACCTGCCAATATGTTTAATACCAATGTGGTACCATCCAATGAAAGAAACGGACCGAAAAATTTCAAGATGCAGTTTGCACCTTTTGTGTATCACTTCCCACCATATCGGTTTGACATTCATCTGCCATGCTTCTCTGAGAATCGTAACTTTTATGCAGTCATTTTCGCTAAATATAATTTTCCTTGCTTACCATTTGAATACGGCTTTTATATTCTACTAATTAGTGCAAGTAATGTATTAATAATCAAAAAATTATTGTTATAGTACCTTCCTTATCTCTAAATGACAATGCTTCTGTTCATCCATCATCATCATCGTCCTCAACACATAACCATCATTCTATGTTAGTTCCAATGCGTTTTTCATTTATGTGCATCAAATTTCCTATTTTAAAAGATATAAAATATTGAAGTATGAAAAGTATACGCTTCTTTTGTTAGCATTAATAAGCTCAGATATCTGAATCTTTAATGCCAGTTTTGTAGAAGAGGTGGAAAGATGCATCGTCATCATCACAAAATAGAACGAGAAGATATCAAGAAATTACCACATAACTGCCAGGAACTTCCTTCTGAGCAGCTATCCCAACTAAGTTTAGGTATATGTATTTCTTTTTACTTCGGTTTACTGACTAAATAAAGAAAGTTAAAAATTGAGCTTCTTGCCCTGATTGTTCACACAGTGGGAGGAAAGATAAGAGAGAGTGGAGTCACTCTTCTTCAGTGCAGTTTCTGTGCTGTTAATTTTGTACACTGAACATGGCGTACATTTGCTTCTTAGAATAATCTTCAGTAACCTTAAGACTATTTAATTTTTCAGTTAGGCTTTTGGTTATTTCTATCTAATTTTTCAGTTAGGCTTTTGGTTATTTAAGTATCATTTTCTAGATAATGTTTCAGCAAATATACTGGAGTTTGCTTGGACGCGGTGCAGTTTTTATTACGTTCTCACTGCGACAAAATTCCAGTTTATATCTCGTGCAAATGATACTTCTGATAGAATGAGAATGAATATTAAAGAAAGAAATTCAGATTTCAGAAGATAAATTTTAGAGGGTGAAGTGATTGACATCCAAGAAGGCTATGGCTGCCCACCTTCGTATGTTATGGAGAGCTATCGTATCCAGATAGAGTTGACTTCAGCACGATATCGTTGTCGACCTTTTAAAGGTTAATACAACTGCTTCTTTCGTCCAGCTTTACTTTATATTTGCATCTTGCTACCATAACAGAGTGTGCGTTCCAAGTTTCAAGGAAAAAAAATTTCGGCAAACATCACGAATCCAGAAGTATTTTAACATCATCAGATAAAGAATTCGAATCAGTCAACAACCTTGATTAGTCTTGCAGTCAGAACAAGGTGGAAGTCAGTTCTTTTGTGTAACATGGACAAATCCCTTTGTGATTTAGGAAGAGCTCCAGTTTAGGAACATCGAGTGACCCGAGAGCATGACTTCTGTTTTTTGGGTTGACTTACATATAAAGATAACTTGTACACTTAACATCCTCACGCAAAATCAAGAGATTTTTGAAGACTTACATTAAATTGCTCTTACCTTTCTTTTCCAAAATTTAAAAACTTTTGAAGTCCATATTCAGTTAATTACAAATTTCGTATTTCACTACAAAGTATTTACTGAAATGTTTGATCATCTCAGGATTTGTCAAGAACAATATCTGAATCTCAAAAGTACGGTGTTTATTTTTGGTTTTAGATAATTCTAACTCAGCAATACCGGTTTCTGTAAACGACAGGAAGATAGCTCATCGCGAACATGACTCATTGCAAACATTACGAGGTCAGTTTGCTGTAACATGTGCTTCATTCAAAGAGATAATATTGCTCATAACATCAGAAGGTATATCCAGATACAGTAAATACCTTTATTCTGGATTTGTGAGCCATATTGTGATTTAGTCAAACGGCAGGGAAGATGAAATGATGCGTGTATTCTGGACTATGATTGAAACCATCCGAAACTAACCAACAGTGAATGCTCTACTAATAAAATGCCGATATCTTTACAAATTATGGAAAAATTCATTCTTGCACACTTTAAAATTTCGTGAAATTTCGCCTGGAGTATATGTCGGTCATTTTCTTCAAATTTTCAGACAGGTTGGAAAAGCAGTTGGAAGAAGAAAACTATGAATGCATGATTTGCTGTCAAGTTATCCATGCTAATCAGGTATTTCTTTCATTTCTATACTTTAATTGCAGAATAAAGATTTTACCCGCATTGTCTCTTAAACGAGACAAAGGAATCTATTTGAGTCAAATTTTCTGCTTTATATTGGAATATGATCGTAAGCTGGACACAATTATTTCCATTTTATTTGTCCGGGGTTTATTTTACACTTTCATTGGTGTTTCACAGAGTCTGCGGCGAGTGAAGTTGGCAGTAATTTGATAACCTTTTATTTCGTACTGTTACTCACAAAATATGGCTTAGAATTGTTGGGTGGAGAGTTGTGGCCGGTTAATCTTGTTTTCACTGAAAGAAGCACGGACTGTTTTAGTGGATATGGAGTTGCAAAAAATGCTACCATATGTTCCATATTAATCGTGCAAATTCATATGGTTGCATAACACAGTGGGCGGCTAAAAGTTTCAAAGCAGATGTTGGCTGGCGCTGTCCAAGTTGCCAGAATGTTACTTTCGAACTTCCTAAACAGTATCGATGCTTCTGTACTAAAAAACTTAATCCTCCAACACAAAGGTATCGGAAAAATGCTAAATTTTCACTTGTGTTTTTTATATTACATTGTTTTTACATTACATTTAATTTTTTTATTTCTATAGTAATTTAAAAATATTTCTGGAGTGATTCTGGTTTTATGAGGTATGAAATAACCAGTTTCTAAGTAAGGATCATATAGCTTTATCTTTCAGAATTGTTGGAAAGTAGGACTAATTTTTATGAAAGGGTAGGAGTGAGGTTTTAAAAATAATGTTAGAGTTGTATCATCCATACGCTCTGGAATGCGATCAGAAGGCTTTGCTGTTAAAGAACTGAGATTTAAAGGTTTAACAAATTATGAATTAAATTAATGGATCTGATAGTTGTGTTATGAGCTCGTATGCAAGTTTGTTTCACTCTTACCTGAAAGACAGTAAATTTGTTCACTATCGTTTAAAAGAAGTAGTTTTTTTTGATTATATTCATAAAAAGCTGCGTTTAGATTCCCAGATATGCCTCACTCATGCAATGCAATTTGTGGAAAAATCCGTGGTGCCGGTTGCATTCATCCGTGTACCGATCAGTGTCATCCAGGACCTTGTTCAGAATGTCCGCTTACGATTACTCAAAGGTGCAATTGTGGTCGGCAGATTATTGCTGGTCGCTGCGGTAAACAGCTGGAATTTAAGGTGAACAGTCTTTTTCACTTTCCACGGACTGTGATATCTCACTTGGCTTAGTGATATGAACAACTGATGTGCAGAGTATTTCTTTAGTTATTGAGAAGTGTAATTTAGAGTATTTGCCCTTGACGAAGCATTTTATAACACTAAAAATAATAATCTCTGGCTTAAACTTACGCATTATCATTAACTGAATTTAACAGTTGCTGGTTATAAAAAAGTCCTTCAACAGACTAAAATTGTATAACCAGCAACTGTTGCTTATACAATTTATTATAGTCTGTTGAAGGACTGTCAGTTATTGTAGTGTTTGATGGTGTGCGGAAAGATGCTCAGCTGCGGATTACACAAATGCGAAGTTATTTGTCACCAAGGAGAATGTAATGCTTGTGAGCATGTCGTTACCCAAAGTGATTTCCCCGATTTATTCTTTCAAGTTTCTTTTTTTTGAAATAAGCTGACAACACCATCGGTATTTTATAAGTTACTTAAATTCACGTTAATTCGTGGTAAATTAGTTTCTTAATTTTTTCAGAATGTTTTTGTGGTCTCGAAGAGCGTATCGTACCATGTACAGTTTTGAATTTAAAGGTCACTTCATTTAGTTGTGGTGCTCCATGCACTGGGATGTATGCATGTGGTGTACATAAATGCGAACTCAGGTAATCCAAATCGTTTACTCAATCATGTTTCATGAATTCTCCTCGTCCTTCACTTTTGTTGCAAAGAAACATTGAAATACCTAGTACGCTTATGATCACTTATCAGAAGTATGGAATTTTTGGGTGAAGTTCAACTTCAAAAACTGTATCATTTATCCCACATTAGTCATCTTCGGTGATTAAATCCGATCTTATGAAGAAATGATATGGTGGTATCCGCGTCCACGACTCATTCTCCTAATTCAGTTACCATAAAGAATTAAGGTTTCAGCGATGCTTCAGATATGGATCTTTACATGTAAACGAAATTGACAAGCATACAAATTGAGTTTTTGTAGTTAAAATGAGAAACTGCTGAAAAGTTACTAGTCCCGTTCTGCTTGTACCTTCCAGATATTTCATTTTACCTGAAAAAAGTAGCATGGCTTGACAAATATTCTTACCATTTGGGTTTGCTCATTCAATATATTAGTATAATATGGCGTTTTTCTAAATTTCCATCGTACATCTCCATTAATTCCAAAGAGATCATTACGTTGTGAGATTAGATCAAAGGATTAAAAAAGGTATTTCTGTGAATCAAGGTTTAATTTCAAGATGTCATGACAAACACGGAAGGGATAATTGTGGATTGTGCAGTTTATCGCCGAAAAAGAAGGAATATTGTCCATGTGGACGGACACTAATTGCAGAGCTAGGGAAGCTGGCACGAACATCGTGCACTGATCCAATTCCCACGTGCAAAAATGTTTGCGGCAAAGTTCTAGCCTGTGGTCCAGAAGGTATACATTTTAATGACTCATGAATTGTTATCGATACTTACATTTGAAGCTGGCATACAAAACTTTGTCATCTCTTGATGCAAAATGCTAGACTGCTGCTATTTGATAACAAAAATTATATTTCATCCTTAAGCTTCCAATGCACTGAAAAGGTATGATGAAAATTACCTTTGTGGGCACTTTTTAATTTCGTGGCCTATAAATCTGGAATAAAAAACTTTTTGCAGTTCTTTTCCTTCCATTTAAAATCGATTATGGTTTTACGCTCTGAGAAGATGTTTAAATGGATAGACCTGCTAGATGTAACGGTTATAGTTTCAGATAAGCCGCATCAATGTATGCAGCTGTGTCATGTAGGATCTTGTTCTTGGTGTCCTTCAAGTTCTTTAATAAGTTGCAGATGTAAAGGCGTGAAAAAAGTAATACTGTGTAAGGAATTTGTCCTCTACTCAGGTAAGAATTTTGCGTTTAAGCGTTCCTCAGAAGGAAAATTAGCATTTATCTTATTTTGTGGGTATCATTGAGTAATGATTGATGTAGCATTCAAAAAAATCGAACATTTTAATTACTTTCCAAAAGTACCCACTTTTTTCCAAATAATATTATTTCAAACGGTTTTATATTCATTCGTGATTCTTTATATCGAAAGATAAGATTTTAAGTTAATACAATAAAACTTGGTAGTAGCTTTAAAAAGATAAAATTTCAAATTTGTGTGAGTAAAAGTCGGTGTTCCTAATTCACAGATTGATATTTTCTAGCCGAAAATCCATATCTTTGTGTGCGGCGGTGTAAAAAATTGAAGACCTGTCAGAGTCATCGATGCCGTGCTATTTGTTGCGTTGATAAGGAGCATTTCTGTATGCAGGTAATTTGCACTCGTCGGTTCTTGCGTCTCCAACTGTTATGTAAACGTTGAATTTTTGACTTTACAGATCTGCGGCAAAAAACTGAATTGTGGAATTCATAATTGCGATCGATTATGTCACGTTGGGCAATGTTCTCGATGTTTGCAAGCAAGTACGTTAAATTTTTTCCTTTCCTTTCCATTTCTTTGTTTCTGTCGTTAATGAATTTGAAACTGTGTTTGCACTGCTCTCCGCGCATAATCTTATTCTTTTGGATCAGTTAGGATTCAGAAATTTCACATCCATGTGGATGTATAAAATCGTATAATTACTAAAACAGTGCAGTGTAGAATTTTTTAAGGTTTGCTTTTGCTCACAGCATATATGAATCATTTAGCTTCGTGAAACCATTTTTTTTATCAAGTATATCTTCCAATTTACTTCTAACTTTTTTCGTTTCTTCGTAGGTTTCGAGGAGCAATACTGTTTGTGTGGACAGACCGTCCGTGAACCACCTATTCCGTGCGGTACATCACTACCACTTTGCAATCGACCATGCTCACGGCAACATTCTTGTGATCATCCTCCTATGCACAATTGCCATGCTGAATCTGAATGTCCGCCTTGTACTGTGCTTACTCAAAAACCGTGTTACGGTGCACACGAGGTTTTCTATTTTAATATCATGTTTTGATCAAAAGCTCTTAAAATACAGGCCGATCGTAGGTTTCTAGTGGTTCCTCTTGTTAAATCTTGTCGAATCCCATCTTTTGGAACTTAAGGCAGGAGGGAGAAACCTCTACTTCTGGATTCATCTTGTATCCGTTTAAATGTACCACACTCTTGCTAGCAGTCAGATATCACGTTTGGTTTTTGCGTTGAATCATTACACCGTTAATCAGTATGTGTGGTACTTTGTGTGTCATGCTTGAATTATGAGAATTAAATTGCACTTTTTTTCAGCTTGCTAGAATTAGATGGTCACAAAGTCATGTCGACTGCTTTATCTAATAAATTCTCATGAATATTCACGTTGAACAAATTCGGTCGCTTCTAAGGCCAGCGAAGCAAGTTTTTGGAAAATCTTGAAAGATAAATCCCTTCGTTTTAGATTCGCGCAAATATCCCATGCTTTTTAAACGATGTTTCTTGTGGACGCCCATGTAATAAGGAACTGTTGTGCAATGTACATCGCTGTAAACGAATTTGCCATGCAGGACAGTGTTTGGTAAACAATACTTCATGCCAGCAACCATGTACTAAAAGAAGAGTTGAAGAAGCTTGTGATCACATTTGTGGCCTTCCATGTCATGGCGATACCTCTTGTCCCAAAAGTTAAGCTTTTTGGTATTCGCTCTGTTCAGCAAATGTTGTGTTTAATTACGCAAGTCTCAACTGGAAACTTAGAAGTTGAAGTGTGAATTAATGCACATGCAGAAAGTGTGTTGCCGGTGTGAACAATCCTTACCGCCGAAAATTTACGGAGTCTTCAAGAATTGGATGGCCAAGTGCGAACGGTTTGATTAGTGATCTCATTAACTTGTTTCTTATCTTTATACTTTTTATTTTTGCTAGTAATTTTAGCTCCTGTGGAGCCAAAGTGATCATTACTTGCACATGTCTTCGGAAATCGTCTGAAATGCGTTGTTCCGATGCTGAGAAAGCTTACCAAAAGTTATTATCATTGAAAGTAATGGAGGATAACTACCCGAACTTATCTGCCGAGAATCACCTATTAAAAAAAAGTTTGAGCATCGACAAATATCGATGGTATGGTTATTTTCCAATCTTAATTTCTGTAAGTTGATCAAGACTGTCATAAGCTTTTGTGGCTTGTGACATTAATATCGGGTGGGAAAATACAAAATATGCAAAATATAGTACATCATGGTATTACACGCGTATGCTTTAATATTAAAATGTAAAATTTCTTTGCTCTTATTGAATTTATATTAACTCCTGTTGATTTTTGTGATTGTTGTTTTTTCATTGAAGGGAAGTATTTATAGCAATTTTTCAGCCTTCCATGCGATGCGGAATGCCAGCGGGCACTCAGAAATGAAAAAATGGCAGAAATATTAAATATTCCTCGTCCAGATGCAGCTGATGATGTAGCAGCTTATACCATTTTTCTGAAAAATAAATTGAAAACGAATTACAAAGAAATTTTGGACATCGAAGATACATTATTAGAACTTGTGCATGGTTTGAATGCGGTATGTTTGTCCATAATTTTAGTATCGTTTTTTAGAAGAAGCACAAAGTACACTTTCTCTTTAAAGCCTTGATTATGGTATTGTCTTGATTACGCAGAAGTTTCTTTTTTAACTCCATGCTTTCAATTATCATGGTAAAATCATTACTGAAGAAGTTTGGTATTGGCTTACCTATGGTTGAGAATTATTATCACTACTTTGATTTTAAATAGTTTGCATTGATGTGTTGTTTATAACTAAATTGCTCTATAAGCATTGAGAGCGCTTAAATCAGTTATTTCCTGGTGATATCGTGGTTGCAAATCACGAAATGCAAAAACAGTTCTGAAATAAATCTGTGCTGAGTTCTATGCTTTTAATCCTTAAGGTCGTCCATCCACTGATTATGCATTGTTTTTTGACTCAAGTGATTTAGTTGCAATTAATAGGAAACGAATATTCATTACAGCAACCAAATGTGACATCGGTTAGTCACTCATTTCCACCACTGCATTCGGAGCTGCGTCGTATAATTCATGAATACAGCCGATATTTTGGCATCGAAACAATCAGTCATGGCCAGGAACCACAAAGAAATGTAGTCGCTACTGCTAAACGGTAGGTAAAAATTCACGACTGCAAATGCATGCAATGTAAAATTTTAGTTTGCGATATTTTTATGTTACATCATTCAGAAAAGTATGTTAAGATTTCCTATTGTTTGGAAAATCATTGGCATTCATAACAGCAGGTTTCATGATTCAGTTAGAAGTACTTGCGATATTACGAAAACCTTTTGGGAAACATGAAAAATTATCATCTGCGAAAACATGAAAAAAGGAAAAAATTTATCGACAGCGAAGAATTTAATCTGAAATTGAAGTTGAGTTAGAAATATAACTTAGTAAACAATTCTTAACTTTCTGAGTCAATGAATATTTTATGGGAAATATAACGATTGTCCATAATACAATGTTTTGAAAATTTGAGATTATTTGACATTGTTTACTATGATTTAAATACAAGAAAGGTGTGTGGAAGCCTTTTTTTTAATGTTTTTGTGGTGCATTTCGATTTTATTAAACACTTTGTTATTTCCACCATTGTTGGAGGACGTGCTAAAATTCTTCAGGAATGTAAGTTATATGCCAGCTGTGTTTCTTACAGCTTTTAAAAGATATGCGGCAACATCGTCCGTATCAGCGTAAGCTTTTCATTATATTAATGATTGAAATTAATTAAATATATAGTTTACAGTTGAAATTTGCAACCATTTCAAAGTTTATTGTTTCTGTCAGTGGTGGTTTGAAATAATGTTGACGTTCATTTGCTTCCATATTCCATCCCTGTTAAATTATATTACAATTTGACTCATGAATGATTTGCATTAACATAACGTCTCGATTTTTTTTCTTTCTTGTCTCTCTAACAGCGTAATTAAATCTCTGGCCGAGACTTATGAAAAAATGATACTAATAGATAAATCTCTATTATTTCATTTTTCCAGGACAGAGTGGAAAGTAATTATTGAATAACATTTTTAGGTCAAGTAATGCGACCATCACGCCATCCAAGATTCTGTCATCGATTCCGAAAAGTTATTTATATGCTGAAAACAGGATGCAACAATTGAAACCAGTAGGCAAAGTATTAAAACGAGGTTTTAAAGAACCGTTGGCATCACAAAAATAGGGTTTCTTTGATTCATATCTTTTGTTCTACGCGCCAGTTGAATGTCTTGCATAAGACAGCTATTTATTTCTATATGACTTTTGAGCTCTTTCCAATAAATCTATGTTGAGCTCATTATTTTCTCTTTATTTATATTACCTTTACAAAACATCAGTCCTTTATTAGAAATCAGTAAAACTGATGAACGTTCCTACCGTAATTGCTTTCAGAGAAACTATGCACTAGCAACATCTTTTATGTCTGATGGTAGCCTAAATTGATAAGTTCATGACACTTTTCCGCTCATTCTGTAGTTTCATGAGTGAATTTAAGGAATTTAAAGCAGAGATGATTAACTTATTGATTTCGCGTGTTGCGTTGGCAAGCACTCCATTATAAACAGTGGGTATTTAAACAAATGTGTAAAGATTTTTGAACCATGTTTAAATATCCACTGTTTATCATCAAATTCTTTTTAATTCTTTGGAAATTGGCGTCACGATTACCATTGCTATTAATTTTATGATTCATGATCTCGAAATAATGATTACAATATTCTGAGATTCATCCCAAAAAGGTGAATTGCATCTGAATTACTTCCAGTGGATTGCACTTCAATGTCGATGAGTTGAACTTTTATATTTTCATATGGGCATACAATGCTCATTTCTGTTAGGAGTTTATGAATTTTGTTACCTCACAGTTCTAACTTTCCAGCAAAACTAAAGATAGAATAATGCTTCATGTATGGTAAGAACAAAGTCATTGTCACTATTTCCACCTATTTCACGAGACCATTTTCTGTTTCGCGAACCATATAAAAATTTTGTTTTTCCCTATGATAGATCTATTTGTTCACGGTTTCCGTCATTAATTTTTCTTCGTTTATCTCTCTATTTGGTTTTACTTTTAGACGAATATAAACTCTGATACTTTTTCCTTTTCTTACAAAGCAGTTTCATCTCTTACATGTACTTTGAATTTAATATTGCTGAAACATAGTTTTGGGTCGAAAGCCTTTTTCTGACTATTCCTGTTCCTCATATAACTTCATAATTTGGTTGTCTTTGAAAGAAATAGATTGATCCTTTTTTTGATTTGCATTTTAATTTATGAGGTTCATTTGCGTTTAGCTATATACACAGTTATGCGGTGGTTGTCATTGCACAGCTCTAATCTCGTCATGATAATTGATATTCTTCTGTTGAATCAGCACTGAGAAATTTCATTTACCCCAAGAATTTTTTTGAAAGTGTAATAAATTATGTGAAGGAAGGAGTAGTGATGAAAAAGTCGGTCGAGATAAATGGAGAATGGACGCTTTCATTCCGTGACGAACAGCAAAAATTAGACAGCGAAACTGATGGTTTGTGCTGTGTCTTCTTTCTTGGCCTATAAATTTCTTTGCATATGCATATTATAAGGAAAAAGAGATGAAAGGAATTTGCAAGGTGAGAGAAGTTGTGAATATTAAGGATGACGATTAAGCCTTAGAACTAAGAGATTTCCATGTAATTTCATACCAGGATTTTAAATTATGGTTTCAGTTCTAGTAATGTTTTATAAAGCTAATGATTCCATC